GTAGGTCATGGAGTAAAAGTTGGCAGAGACGACCTGATTCCAAGCCTGCCTTGTTTCCTGTGGCCTTCGCATTCAGCGGAGCTAAATTGTTTGCATCACATTCATTTAACCATGAGAAAAAAAAAATGTAAGGCTGAAGTACAAAACTGTCTTTTTCCACATTTGAAAATACGAGGATTAAATATTTAGGTTTCTGCTTTGTAAACAATGGCTACCAAGAACCTTGTAATAGCCACCCGTTCAGTTGGTAAATTTCATTTTTCCACTTTTCAGAATGATGTAGGAGGACAACGCAGCCTGATAAACAAGTGGACGACTTTTCTTAAGGCCAGATTAATTTGCTCAATTCCCGGAAGCGATGGGGCCGATACTCATTTTGATGAGCTTCGTAAGTCACATGTTCCTTCTTTCTTGGAAAAGTCCTACTGCCTAATTAAGTAATTCAGCGTTTATTTTACTTTTGCCCCAAAAGCTTAATTATATAGAGCCCAGCACAGCTCGCGGGAGTGCTGCTTTCTAAACTCATGCACACCAAGCACTCAGAGGTGTTTTAGGCCTGACGTATTGTAATTAACTTCTCTTGAGAGGCCTCAACCTTAGTGAAGGAAATAGCAGAACTACAAGAGACAGATTTAAGCTTTGGGACTACGAAGTCTGTGGGTTCTCCGCGCCTTCTCTTGCTTTGGTAGGAGCCACCTTCACAGGTAGGAAGAGTTTGGGTTCTTTATTCTGAGGATGCCCTCTGCTGGAGAGTCTGAGAAATGTGCTGAACTTTGATTTGTTAATAAAATGTGCAGAGAATCAGGAGACAGTCTTCTTTTTCATTTCTCCTCTGGGCTCTTATCACAGCTATTCTAGAAGGATGGTTTTTAGTTATTTATAAAGCTAGCATCATGAACCTTTATTTTATCTATCTTGTTTTGGTTTTGACCATGCGATGTCAAAACGTATCTGTTAAATCTGTATCATTGAATGATTTCGTTTGTATTTTATAGTTTTAAAGTATATATTAAATATTTATGAATGACTTCTCATGTTGTGTACAGGCACACTCACTTTATCTTAAAGAACTTTTTAAGTAGTATTGAGTACACAGAATTTGTTAGCAATACTGCACTAATTTCTTAAGTACTTTCATATTATTATAAAAAGTAATTGAATTACTAATACATTGAAATAATTACAAGACATTTTTCTAGACTGAATGGTTAAAATGATCTATTTTTAAGGTTTTTTTAATATGAAATTATATATTCCTAATTGTAAAGTCAAGGAGATTGTCAACTGGACCATCCCGTTTGCAGGTGTTTGGTCCAGATGCCTAACAGGTTAAATGTCTGGTTTACTTCGTTATTGTGTTGTTAAACAGAATTACCTGTAACTGACAGATTTATAAAGAATAGAGGTTTATTTGGTTCATGGTTCTGGTGGCTGGAAAGTCCAAAAGCACAGGACGCGCACCTGGCTGGCCTCTGGTCCTATCTTACAGCATGGCCGACATAAGTATGCATGTGCAGAGAGAGACTTAGAGCCATCGACTGACTGTTATAACAGTGGGCACTGGTTCTCACCTATCTCCAGAATTATTCCAAAAGAGCGTGAATCTGTTCATGAGAGTGGTACCCCCATGATCAACCCACTAGACCTCACCTCTAAAATGTCCCACCACCGCTCAGCATGACATTGAGGACCAAGCTCTCAGTAGATGAGCCATGGGGGACAAACCATAGCCAAACCATATCCATGGCCAACTCTGTCACATAGCTTTCACCCTCAATTTCTTAAAGCTCAATATGATGCATCTATTATCTAATTTAGAATTTCAGAAACATTGTATTACTACATAAAAAATCATATGCTGAAAATAAAAATATAGTTAATTATTATTTTTTCCCATTAATAGAAGATATTTATTTACTTCCCACACGAGATGAAAGAAATCCTGTAGTATATGGAGTCTTTACCACAACCAGGTATGTTCAACAAAATGCTTTTAATTCTTCTAGAGAATTTTTTGTGTATAGGAAAGACAAGGATAAAAATGCTGAGCACAAAAGGCACATGTATCTACTAATCATAACAAATGCTTCCAAACTGCTTAAGAAGTAATAAAATGTTATGAGAGATAATGCTAGGAAAACACATGAGGGCCAGCATGTGGTGTGATGGTGAAAGTGTCTGGAGGATTCCAATGACTGGCTGTCAATTTGCTTCTAGAACACACGGCATCTTGAGGAACAGGCTGTGTGTGTGTGTGTGTGTGTGTACGTGTGTGTGTGTGTGTGTGTGTGTGTGTGTGTGTCCAAAATCCTGAAAGGAGGAAGGGATAAAGGAGAAAGGAATGTGATGTGAGTGTTCCTATGCGGGGGAGGAGGACTTCTTTCTAAGTTTCTCAATCTCTGGTAAGGACACATCCTTTCTGGAAAAAAAAAATTAAGTAAATTAAAATTAAAAATATAAAATAAATGAATAAATGTTCACTGGTGAAGCTATGTTCATGAGATGAATCACTCTTGACATTGAAGATGTTGTCACGTGTGGTCTTATTTTCACTTCTTCCTTACCTATGAAGATGAGAGTGTAGCTGTTGTGATCTTTTCACTGCACTACCAATTTCAGCAAAGGTTTGCGCTGCGTTCAAAGCAGAGCAGACGATCAGTTATAAAAGTGGGGCTAGGACTGAAGATGTTCTCCTGGACATCTATTTTTTTTTTTTTGGGTCTTCTTTCTGTGTAATGCTGTCTTGTGTATGTCTTTGAGGCTCTGTGACTTCCTAGTACTAGTATCTATGAAGCTTTCTCAAAGAACATGTAGGCCTTACTGTCTTTCTTTTAATTCAGTAACTTATATTTGGCTATGGCCAAAGCATCTCTTCCTTCCTGCTCTAAAGAACATCCTCCATCCTTGCGCTCTAAAGTACAGCCTACATCCTTGGAAGTACTTTTCACTTTTCCTGCAACTCTGTTATCAGCACTTATCAATGAATATTGATATTAGTGTTGAAATAATTAGAAGTGCTGCAATGGGACTTAAAAAATGATGTTGGGACCAGCAAGAGCAGCAACAGACATGGCAGTTAAGGCACTAGACTTCCACATGGCCCACTGTGGTTTGAGTCCTGGACCCGGATTTTTGAAACTCACACCAAGCACGTGTGTGTGCATGCTCCAAATCCCAAGAGGAGAATGGAGGAGAAGGGACTGTGCTGTGGCATGGCTATCCCCTCTGAGGGGTCATTTGTCACTTTCTGTCTCTCTGTCTCTGTCTCTCTGGCAATCACATGTGCCCTATGGGAAAAATATGTCTATAAATAGAAACGGTCTTAATGACTGCTATTGAGTCCATTCATAAACTATGCTGTATGCAAATCGTAGTTGGATTTCCTTTCTGCAGTGTGATCTGGGTTTAGTTCACAGTATCCTCTGTACAAATGGAAATGTGTTGTAGGTTCGAATATATCAGAGCATGAACCACTACTTGATGAATTGTAAGTTACATAATGTAACCCAGGTAGATACCCTTAAAAGGAGACAGCTTAAAAAGCTGCTAGATTAGACTCCAGTTGTGCTGCTTTTGTTGCTAATTGATATCTGCAAAGGTGTGAGAAGAACGAGTGCCTGTAATAATCCAAGCTGAGGATCTCGGCCTCAGTTCTCTTGGCACCTTTCCACTCACAGAGCTCTCTTTGATGTCCTTGTGTGTTCCACATACAAGACCTAGATGTATGCCAGGAAAACGTAGCCTCCAGACAGTTCTTTTTTTCTTCACCCGAGTTGCTGCCCACCCAGAGTGTGAAGTTACAAGTCAAGTCTTTGTTCTTGGTGTACTTTATTGTTTTATTTTTCATGCTGCCCTGAAGACTGAGGTAATGTCGGAACACATGTCACATCCTTTGTCCAAAGGGAAGCTATAATTAACCAGCAATCATGGCAATGCCATTAAGCATGATGCATCATACCTATAAAATATCATAGGCAGATGATGTGACTTTTATGAGACTGTCACCTGCCTTCTTAGCAGCTCGTTTTCTCTCAACTGCCTGTTTATTATTACCTCCTCATGGTTTTCCATTAATGTCATTCCAATAATATTAACAACTGTGTTACTCATGCTAGAGACTCATTAGCTTATTTGTGTTGTTCTGAAATGATATATCTCAGTCGTAATGTGTAATCTTGTGGTTTTTTGTTTGCGTTTGCGTTTTTGTTGTGGGGTGTGTGCACTCACCAGAGAAAGTCAGAGACAGAGAGAGAGAGAAAGTGAGAAATCATTCCCCCACAGTGTTAGCCATGCCATAATCCCTTATCCCCCATTCTCCTTGGGACTTTGGGCACACATGCATACATAACCCACTGTGATCTTCAAGTTGTCAGGTCCAGGGCTTGAACTGCACAATCAGCCATGTGAGATCTAGTGCATTAACCTTCATACCACCTGCTGGCCCATCATCTTATAAGAACATATAATCGTTGAAAGTTTTAGACTCAAAGAAAATGTCTTTCATTTCCAGAAATAAACCAAAAAATAAACATCCAGTGAGTGTTCAATGTTTTCATTAGTTTGCAAAGATTTGTACAAGTTATGTGGAAATTTTCTGCCTCTTAATAATGCTTAATATGATGTATAATTGTGATTACCTTAAATATCAGATTAGTTACTAAAATACATGAACTCAAATTCAAGAACAAGCAAAAATAGTTTCAACATTTAAAAAATCAAGTTAATGAAAATTATATGAATATATGACCTTACAGACAATATTTAAGATCATTAGATCATTTTTAAAAGACAGATAAATTAGATTATTTTTATTCTAAATGATATATATCATATCTATCATAATTTGTATCATATCTAAAAGTTTCCTTTATAAATGTAAGTAAAGTGTATATATATATATATATATTTTACTTTGTAATGTCTCTTGAGGGCATAATGGTATAATAACTTAAAGTGAAATTGAAGAACATGTGGACATATTAAATATTCTTTCCTGTATATTCCTCTATCCTTTAATTTTTCTGGATCATTTCTATTTATCTATCAGGTGTCCATTTTGATGGTTCCTCCTCCCTAAGTACTCACCTGGCAGCTCTGAATTTTATGTTATTTTTTCGCTTACTATAATTAATCTGTAATGTGGCTGTTTCCACACTTCATTCAGAATTGCTTGACTGTAAGCCCTATAAGCCACTATGGGATAGGGGCAGAATCTGTCCACGCACCTGTCAGATAGGTTGTGCTCAGTAAATTTTGCCCACAGCAAGCAGATGATTATAGAATGTGCTCAATAAATATCTACTGAAAAAAATGAGTGAATGACCGAATCATGTTGCTTTCTTCCAGCTCCATCTTCAAAGGCTCTGCTGTTTGTGTGTATAGCATGGCAGACATCAGAGCAGTTTTTAACGGTCCCTATGCTCATAAGGAAAGTGCAGACCATCGCTGGGTGCAATATGATGGACGAATTCCTTACCCGCGACCTGGGACGGTATGTATCCCACCTAATCACCAACACTTTCCTAAGCCTCTGTTCGACTCCTAATTCTTTCGTAACTGTAAACTGTGGTATTCATTTCAGTAACATGTGCTATTTATTTTTAAATAGCTATTGTTTATGTACAGTCATAGCATTTGCATCTTTCATTGGAACTTAATGTTTTTGTTTTGAATAAGAATTTTAAGTAGTATGGGAAACTGGACTATATACTAAGGAGCAGAATTTGCTGACAATGTAGAACTTATTCCTAACACACTCATGGAGTCATCAAAATGGTTTAGTTATCAAGAACAACAAATATTTTACATTAGAGATGCCAGGCATTCTCCACATGCAGTTCTGGATACAACTAAGGAGTCTTTTGCTTTCCATTTCTACTTTGTAAGGACCACATTAGATATAATGCTTCATTTATCTTTTTTTTCTTGTTCTATATTTATTTTTGTTTTGGTGCACCTTGTGATAATATGCCTATTTTAGATAAGGGAGAGATTTTAGAGAACCCTGACTCCAAAATTCTTCTAAAAAGCATAAATAATGTTTAAAGCACAAGATGAAATAAGTAAGAAATGTATTTTAGGGTTTATACATTTGTTTAAAAAGAAAAACAGCTGGAGTTTAAAATGTCATATACACATTATAAATAAAAGACTTAATTTTGTTGATATGATTAAAACAGTTTAAGTTATGTAAATAATTTGAATTGTTTAAATGATCTAATATGAAAAAAAGTTTTCTATTTTTTTCATTTAGCATTTATTCTGAAAATTTCTACCAAGAGATCTGGAACATCAGAATCTCTGAGAAACATATTGATTTAACCAACTAAGTTTTACTGGACTTTGTCTTTTCATATGTTCATTCTTAAATGGAAGACAGCAAGTAGTTAGGTTTTCTGAATTCTTTTTCCATGTTTCTGTTCTATAATTTAATTAAACTTGGAAAGCAGGCTATATAGCCATGTCTATTTTCTCTTTTATAATTTCTCAGTAAGAATTTATTTTGGAGATATTTTCTAACCTGATTAGAAGATACCATTTTTATGAAAAACATATTTTTAAAATACATATTATAACTTTCAGTATTTACTCTTGTTGCTTTCTCTCTTTTTTATATTGTGATAAGAGTACTTATCACCGTTTCGAATATGTGAGTATCCAGTTCACTCTCACTGACTACAGGTGCAGTAGGTGCAGTGCTACCCAGTAGATCCCTCGATCCCCTTCACCTCGGTTGACTGGAAATAAGTCTGCTGATAGTAACTCCTCATTTCGCCCTCACCCCAGCCCCTGACAACCACTTTCCACTCTGATTCTAAGAATTTGACTATTTTAGATACCTAAAGAAAGTAGACTTATGGGGTAATTATCTTTCTATGAGTGGCTTATTTCTCCTAGCATATAAGGTTCATTCATGTTGAATAGTGTAGATTTTTGTCCTTTGTTAAATCTAAATAAAATTCCATCATATGTATTCACACTAACACATTCACCATTTCTTTTATCCACATCTTGTCTATTGTGAATAATCCTACAATGAACCTAAGCATGAAAGTCTCTCTTTATGATCCGAATTTTAATTCTTTTAGGTAAAGACCCAAAAGTGAAATTGCAAAATCATGTGGTAGCTCTACTTTTAATTTTTGAGGAAATGCCACACTGTTCTCCCTAGTGACTGTACCATCTTGCATTCTTACAGCTGTGTGCAGGGTTTCAATGTCTCCATATCTGCTCTAACATGTGATTTTTGTTTTTATAGTACTAATTTTGCCAGGTCTGAAGTGATATCTCATTGTGGTTTTTATTTAAATTACCCAGATAGTTAATGATATTGATCATTTTTTCATGTATCTGTTGGCCATTTTCTTCTTTGGAAAATGTCTATTCAAGTTCTTGGCCCACATTTAAAATTGGATTATTTTCTTTCTCTTTCTTTCCTTCTTTCTTTCTTTCTTTCTTTCTTTCTTTCTTTCTTTCTTTCTTTCTTTCTTTCTTTCTTTCTTTCTTTCTTTTCCTTTATTTATTTATTTTTGCTATAGGGCATGTGCGTTTGCCATAAAGAGAGAGACAGAGAGACAGAAAACGAGAAATCATCCCCTGGTGTATGGCCACACTGCAATCCCTTTTCCTCCATTCTCCTCTCGGGATCTTGGGCATGCATGCACACATGCCCGGCATGAGTTTAAGCCACCGGGTCTGGGACTCAAACCATGGTCTGCTACATGGGAGTCCAGTGACATAGCCATTTCTTTAACTGCTGGTCCCTATTTATTTATCTTTTATCAGTAACATAACACTTAAGATGAGCAGGTAATCTTCTAAGTGTTATAAATGTTTTACAAGTTCTATCTTATTTAATGCCTCTTTAACTATATATTATTATTAACTCCATTATACAGATGAGGAATCTAAGGTACAGACAGACACTGTAACTTGCTTAAGGTTACAAAGGTAGTGAATATGGAGGTCTAAGCTTTTACTTCTTACATTGGGTCATTGGAAAAGTCGTGACAGGTTTTTTCTATGCAAAAATGTGTCATGACTTTTCACTCAACCCATTTATTATTATAATGTAGATATAAGCTTAGATTCTTTAAATCGTGTTCTAATTCTTAGTTCTTATACTATGATACTATCCTAAAGTATTTTAAATTATATTTATTTCCCCCTCCATGAAAACATTTTACACACACATGTATGGGCAATTAAACTTTGGAAAAGAGCTCTACCTGAGGAATATATTCTATTAATATTTAGGGATTAAACATTGTCTTCCATCATATTATCAGACTTTGAGCTTTTCTGCATGAATTTGTCTTTATAAATAAAGACATCACCATTCATCGGACACTGACATACATAATAGTAAGTAGTCCTTTTTATCAATAAGAAGCTAAACTCCAAATTATGTCAAACTAACCATTTCTCATCCAGAATACTGAAGTTATAGAGTTTACGTAGGGTTTTTCTTGAAAAGTTTGAAATTATTTAGTACACAGACAGTATATGAACTACAAAATACTTAACATTTTTGTTTTTTACAATTTAGGAAAATCAAAGCACTAATATTAGGAATAAACAAAGACATTTAATAAAGTTTTTCTTTTATTTTCCCAACATCACCATTCCTTATAGAATTCCTATTTCTTTTTTTTTTTTTTGAATTCCTATTCCTTTTTAAGAGTGTGAACATATTTGCACATGAACTTGAGCTTTGTGAATGATACTTTGTAATTACTCTTTCATCCAAAGCCTGTAGTCAGGCTATAATCAGTAATGAGGCAGTAGAATGAAGTCTCCCTCTGGAAGACTTGACCAGAAAACTTTCAGTGATGACATAGAGTTTATGCCATCAAATAAATAGAGCTTAGGTTTTTTAAAAAGTTTTGGTTAAAAGGAGTGAGAAGTTCTTTCTACATGTGCTGAATTTGACTTGATATCTATGCTGTTTTGAGATAGATAATTTAAGTTTATTATTATAAAATTAACAATATTGAAGTATTTTTTAATATTTTTTATTGACCAACTTTCTCCAACTGGTTCTGTGTAAAAATAGTGACAACCAGTCCTACTAACCAGTTTGTAGGCTGATTTGGAAGACTACAGTATCCAAAGAATTTCAGTTTTTTTCAAGTAACTAGTTACCTTTTATTCTCTTTGAAATCACCATGACCAAATTTGAAGATGTCTAAAATCATGCATAGGTGTGTAAACTCTTTATTACTTCTTTATACTTTCAAAATCTATTTTTTGTTTGCACACAGTCCTATTAATGTCCTTTTCTACGTTATATTTGAAATGCCGATATTATAACAGTTAGAAACATTGTATATTTGATGTGAAAATCTGTTACACAAGTATGCTTTTTATAAAGGAACTTTCCCATTTTAAATAACTCTATAAAATCATTGAAAGTGTATTTCACAGTAGATCAAGTAACTACACTTGTAAAACTTGAGAATGTAACAAGTAGAATGGATAATAGAGACCACATAACTCACCCTCATTTTACAGAGGAGGAAACTGATGTCCAGAATAATTAAATAACTTTCTTAATATCATAATGCCCAAAGCAGCACAGTGAACAGAAATGTTGGGATTTTCTGACCAGCCTTCTGTCTCCACTCTTTAATATGCTCTAATATTTATATACCCCCTAATATTTACCTGAATAACTTACTGCTGAATGTTCTACCTAAAATGAGCTGCATTTAGTTTTACGTTATTTCCTGGCATCTTTTCTATTTTTATATATATATATATATAAAGCAACCTAATTGAAGTCATTCTTGTTTAAGTGAAGCTATGATTTTTTTTCTATTTTCCACAAACTTCCCATTTAGATATTTTAGTCACAAAACCTTACTAAACATTCCTCATGATCCAGATACTATTGTAAGCACTTACATGTTATTTTGTTACGTATTTAAGACAAGAGTGTAGGTATTATTATCTGGATTTTATGAATAAGAAGAAGCCTAATGAGAGTAAGTGTTCATGGTCTCATAGCTTATGAAGTGGTAAGACTGCAATTAAAATTCAGCTCTAATTCCACATCAGAAGTTATGAACATGTTGTTCTATCCTCAAAGTGATAAAAACAAATAACCAAACATATACTTGCATTGTTTTTCTAGGCTCTATTTGTTCTCTGCACAAATATAAAGGATGGTTTGAAACTTTACTAAGTTTGTATTTTTTTTTTTTTTGTAATTCAGGGGAACACATCTTACCCTAATAGAAGCATCACTGAGTAATTTGCTTTCTATGTAAGGGATAGAATCTTTGCTGAAAGCCACTTTACACTGAAATTAAAATTTAAAAAACATCACTGGGGAAAATTTTATTTTCAAAGTGAGTTTCAATTTTTGCAATCATATTATTAATATTGAATTTTAAGTTGTTCTCTTGGTATTGGTTTCTGTTGGCATCATCACTCTACGACTTTCAGCATGCCATATCTACTTTAACTTTTTGTTTTTTGACAGAATGC